ATCCTCAATCACCTGAAAAAAATCAGTGCAGTTGTTTCTGATGTACTAAATTGATTGGCCAGGTTTAGTCTTTCTCACTCTGAATAACTCTCTGTGCTGAAAAAGAAATAGACAATTTGCAATGAAAAGCAAAGAGGTCAAACCATCTTGGGAAGTGAATATGAGGAAAGCAAAATTCATTTGGGTGAATGCTTTACCTGGCCATTATCATTTTGATGCACTTAGCCTTGTTCATTTGAGAGAATAGGGAAAAGTATCAATGCATCTGATCAGGATATATTTGATGAAATTGTAAAATCCTAAAAACTGAAGGAGTTTTAGAGGGAACCTGCCATCCTGTGGATGAGTTTTCCATAGACTCCTTGTTAGCAGGAAGTCCACCCACTTCTGCTTCAGTTCCTTTTTGTACTAGATGCATATATGAGGTTATGAAATATATGTGCAAGTACTTCTATATCAGAAGTTCAGTTGTGGAAAGCTTCAGCATACTGGTGTTTCTCCTGCAGATTGCTAGTGCAACTACTGCTCCATCAATCCCTTCACATTTGTCTCCTGGTTTACGAGATGTGGCTCTTCGTTGTTTAGAACTTCAACCTCAGGACAGACCTCCGTCAAGAGAGCTACTGAAGCATCCAGTCTTCCGTACTACGTGGTAGCCAATTATACAAATAAACTATAATGGAGACAGGATGCTCAACAAGAGAAAAAAAACTTTTGTGAGGAACCATGTTGATAATCTGCTGGCCCTCATGCCACTGAACAGCTATGAACGAGACCCGTGGGGAACCCTTACCTAAGTATGTGATTGACAAATCATGATCTCTACCTAAGCTTAGTATGCAAAAGTCCACAATTTTGTGCAGAAACTATTAACCGTGCCTTTCAAAGAACTGGCCCTAGGTGAACAGGAAAGCAATGAAGTTTGCATGGCTAATAACAGAAGCATAATTTTATTATTATTATTTTTTTTGAGCACTTTTTCAGCATAATATTAGTAGCTGGGGGGCTCAGGAACTATTTTAATGTTTCAGTTATTCTTCCATTTCATATCATGATCACAGCAGGGGGTTCTGCAGTTCCATTCAGTTTTTTTGTCACTGGCTATAAAAATCAGTATCTGCCTCTTTTAGGTCAGAATATGCTATAAGTAACAGTAAATGAATATATTTTTTAAAGCTGGTAAATTCTTTATGATCCACAGTTGACCTTTATATTTTTAATGCCTGGGCAATTGTGGTTCATTGTGCATTTTACTGTTGGCCCATTCATTTCGTTTTTGGAAAATATGGTTCTATATTTTCATTTCACTTTCACTTTTGTTTACTATTCAGGGAAAGGTGATTTTTTTCAAACCAGAGAAAAAAAATAGAACTAGGTGTGAACTAGAGTTTATTAAATATCTTGCTATTGCAAGAGGTTTTTAAAATACAGCTTTTGTTTGTTTTTAAAATTGGAATATAATAAAATACTACCTTCTTTGAGTCAGTCACTACTTGTGCAGGTTAAATATAAATTAAGTGAAAAATCAGCTCTTCTTTGTGATACAGCTCACAACCAAGATCATCTTGAAATTATTTGAAAATTTTTAATGTATCAGTTTCTTTTTTAGGAAACGTCACACCATTTAATCTTACTCTGTATGTAACAATTCATCATCACCACTGATAACAACCTGTAACTGCTGTTTTCCTTCTACTGTGCGTCATCTCTTTACATTAGCCTGGCTGATAATAATTAAAGAAAAACAAACTTAATCACTCAACTACCAATGAATAATAGTTTTTTTAAAAAATAAATTTCCTTTGAATTTGGAAAATGCACTCAGAAAGAAAAGTAAGATTAAATTTTATTTACATACTAATTCCTTGGATTTTGCACAGTTATCTAATGGTTTTTGTCTTGTTTGAATTCAGATGCATGGAATCCTAAAGGAAAATGGCAGTTCTTTTAACCTTTTTTTGTAAGTCTTTTAAATCAAGTACTGATTAAGTATTTAATACCACTTTGAGATGTTAAGTTTTAACTCTTCAGAAGCCAGTTGAATTGCAGAGTGAAATAGAATTGGTTATTCTCAAAGACTCAGGATAAACTAAATAAGCTATATAGAGTACATTTTAAATGTATAACACAAATTGGAAGTAAAATAAGTTACAAGATAAGTTTACAGGGATATATTGCATATAATTTTTAAAAGGCAGGTTTTGTTTTTTATGTGAATGTGTTTCTTAGTGAAATTTTACATTCCTTTGTTTTGGAAGATTGGCAATATTTGAAGAGTTAAAAATAGTACCAAAATGTGAAGTTTGGTAGCTCTAAATGTGTTGTTGTACTTGACTTTCTTTTTTATTTTCTCTTTTTTTGACTACTTAGAATTTTTCACAGTTCTAGTAAGATTGTTTCCAAGTCTCTCATGTGCAAGCTTTAAAGGATGCACTCTTGCCATTTTATGTACTGGAAGATCATTGGTCAGATTAATACTGTGTCTGACAAAAATGTAAACTGTATAAACTGAGGAACCTCAGCTAATCAGTATTACTTTGTAGATCACCATGCCCACCACATTTCAAACTCAAACTGCCTCTTTGATGTCAAAATCCATTGTTTGAGTTTGTTTGCAGTTCCCTCAGCTTGCTGGTAATTGTGGTGTTTTGTTTTTTGTTTTGTTTTGAATGCAAATGTGATATAATATTCTTATTTTCTTTGGATCAAAGCTGGACTGAAAATTGTATTGTGTAATTATTTTTGTGTTCTTAATGTTATTTGGTACTCAAGTTGTAAATAATGTCTACTGCTGTTTATTCCAGTTTCTACTACCTCAGGTGTCCTATAGATTTTTCTTCTACCAAAGTTCACTTTCACAATGAAATTATATTTGCTGTGTGACTATGATTCCTAAGACTTCCAGGGCTTAAGGGCTAACTTCTATTAGCACCTTACTGTGTAAGCAAATGTTACAAAAAAAATCTCTGGGTTAAGAAAATTTGGCTTAAATGTATCCTTTGTTATTTTAAATATATTGAGGTATTTTAATTAAAATTTTTACCCCATTGAAACAATTTTATAGTATTTGTACCTATTTTGGTGTTTTTGTCTTTATAGTAAATAAAAGTTTTTGAACAAATGTTGTTACTTTTATTTATTTTGAAATAATTCCATACTTACAAGAAAGTTGTAGGAATACCATAGAAAATTTCCATACTCTCCACCCAAAGGCCCTACTCAGGTTTTGCCAGCTACCCAAGTATATCCATTTTAGCAAAGGGATCCAATCCAAGGTCACATGTTGCTATAAGTTGTCTTGTTTCATCAGTTTCATTCAATTGAGAACCATCCCTTGACTTTCATTACCTTAGTATTTTTTAGGATTACAGATCAATTCATAGAAGTCACTGAATTTGAGTTTGGTGCCTCCTCATGATTCGACTCAGAGTAAGCATTTGTGACAGGAATATCAGAGAGGTGATACTGTGGGTCATATGGAAGGTCATACAAGGTCAATTTGTCCCATCACTGGTGATAACTGATTATCGGAGTAGGCTTCACCACTGTCGTATTACTTATTCTCTTTCAAGTTAATATCCACCTATAATACATAATATCCAAAATATTATGTATTTTGTGGAGTTAATACTTTGAGACTACATAAATACCATGTTCTCCATTCCAACTTTAGCTCTCTACTCTTCACCTTGACTGAATTATTACTGCAATGGTTGCCAAATAGTAATTTTCTAGTTCCTGCATTCCTTCTATATTTTTATAAATGGGCATTTTGCTATAAGGAAGAGCTTTCTCTTCTCCCATTTATTATTCTTTTATATCAAAGAAGATTTGTGGATTCCTATTTAGTGAGATAAAATCCATTACTATCATAATTTGCTCATATAGTAATATTTAGCCATTGGGAGCCTCTGAGCACTAGCTTCTCTATTGACAAACCATCATTATTCTTTGAACATTTCCATATTTTCAGACCTGTCTTGTGCATTTTTGCTTCTTTCCTGGGGTCAGCCATTTTTCCAAAGAGCCCTGATTCCTTTGATGGAGGTTGGTATTTAAAAACAGAGTACTAGATATGCTCATTGCTCCTGAGAGTCACTGTTCCCAGATCCTCTTAGAAGACAAAGCTAGAATACATATATGAATACACAGAGTTTTTTGCACAAATATGTGAAATATAAAAGACATACCATAATTCACACCAATCTAAATCCAATCTACTACCATCAGGGTTCATTCAAGCTTTCCCTGTTTCCATATTTGTCACTCCTTTCCTGGACAATGAGAAACCTGGCTCCCATTTACCTCAATACCTTGACATTTGCTCAAGTCCTCCCCTAAAATCCCCACCATCCTATGTAACTAATCTCCTATCCTCATTAGGCTGCAACCTCACTCAGCTGGTGTCCTTGATGGGCCCCAACCCCTGGTGGACTGTCCTTGCTCCAGCTTGCCTAAGGGCTTTAATATGTTTATATATATTAGTATTACACATATATTACATATATAATTGTTATATACATATATATATATAATTTTTTTGAGCAGTTTTAAGTTCACAGCAAAATTGAGTGGAAGATTGAGACGTTTCCCATACACCTCCTGGCCCCACATAATACTGCATACCCCACTGTCAATATTTAACAACCTTATTGATAAAAAAGCAAAGCTTTTTTAAAAAACTTTTTTTTTTTTAATTTTAAGTGAAATACCTATTTTTAACTATGTGGCTTCATGTGTCATATTTTCACATGAATATTACTGTTCCCAGACAGCACAGATTAAATTTAATTGATTCTGTTCACACAACTTTATATCATTTGGTATTTTTAAAAAGCATATTAACTCTCATATTAAACTGTTGGACAGGGGAATGATGATTTATTCACCAGCTACTATTTTCTGACATAGTTTCAAACAGTGATTATAGTCCATTCTACTAATAAGGAAATGAGGCATTTTTTATCATTCTGCAATTCAAGCTGCACTAGCGAACTCACCTGGCCTGCCCAATGGTTTTAGACTATACCTTCAGGTTGATTGTTGCTGTTTTCTGATTTCATGCTTCATATTTCTCCTCAGTAGTCATTCATCACATAATCAAACTTAATCAGAAACAAGATGATCCAACCCTGCAAGACAGGTAATATCACTGAGTTCAGAAGCCGCTGTGTGTGTCTACATTTGTTCTAAAGTTTATGCTGATATATAGTTTGATTTAAAATGTACACCTTTCAGTATTTCATAGGCTCTGGATATTTTTGCTAAACACAAAAGACTTAACAAAAAAAAATATGATATTAGATACATTTCTGTCATTCTAGGAAAACAGTAACTTTGAGAAAAGCTTTCTGTTTCAAAGGAATTAAGAAAATTATTCTGTTCCTTGATTCTATCTAAATTATAATACTATTATAAAATGACCAAATCTGGATAGGTGCCCTAGATGGTAGCATAGGGAAAGTCTAAATTCATCTCCTCCCAGAGACACAACAAATCTATGCCTACACATACAGCAATTCCTCCTGAAGGAGAACCAAGGGCTGATTGAGCAGCTGTTGCACAAGAAAAGAGTCCACATATAAAACAGGTGAGATGGGAGGAGGAAAAACAATGGCGGCATGAGAACTGAGGTGGAAATCTCACAAAACCATATATTTTGAAAATACAGCAAATACAACTACTCCTAAGAGAGTGACCAGAAGTAAGAGGGCACCAGCCAATCTACATCTGGGAGAAGTGAACATCTCATGGAAAGGGTAAAGTAAAAAAGCTGTGACCGGGCCAGACCCAAACACTCCTCCCACCCCAGCTCACCGGCGGGAGGCAGAGAATCTGAGCAGGGAGGGAGTAGAAGCCCAGGACTGCTAAATACCCAGCCCTAGAAATATACTCCAGGGGCACAGACCCACAATGAGCAGGGAGGGAGTAGAAGCCCAGGACTGCTAAATACCCAGCCCTAGAAATATACTCCAGGGGCACAGACCCACACTGAATGGTGCTCTGGAGATTAGAGGGGATGAAAACCAAAGTCAGAGACTGAGACTGCGAGCAGGTTCCCACAAGCAGCTGCCCTGGAACAAAAGAAAGGCAGGTGCTTTGAAAGACTTCTCAACAGTGAGAGGCTACTAAAGGGGCAAGGGTTTAGAAGAGGCAACAGGTGAACAAAACCATCCCAGCACACAGCCAGCAGGTTGGGAAGTTTCAGGAACTTCAGGTGCTCCATTTCCCTGGTTGGCAATGCAGCCCCAAGGCCTCTCTCTGCAATAAGCAGCCTGCCGCTTTTTCCTCCCCACCAGCACATGCACACAAACCCGCTGTCCCCGCCATTGCTGCAGACCAACTGGAGGGCAGCCCTGCCTATAGCAACTACACAGCTTAATGCAGAGCCTTCTCCCTGCGCACAGCTAACTGGCCCTGACTGTTGAGGCAGGCACTGCAGCCGGAAAGCACAAAAGGGCTTTGCCCTCCTGACAGACACCTGCACTGCTTGCCCACGACCCCCACCATCGCCTAGGACAGCAGGAGGGCAGCCCCACCCACATCAGCTTAGGGGATTAACCCAGAGGCCTATCCCTGCCAGAGGCTAACTGGCCCAGACAGTGGAGGCAGGGACTGCGACCAGGAAGCAGGAAAGGGCTTTGTCCTTCTGGCAGACACCCACACTGCTTGCCTGCAGCCACTCTTACCGCTCCAGGACTACGAAAAGGCAGAAGAACCTTGTCCAATCCAAAATCCCTCAAATGCCATAAAGACAGCTCTGTGAGACTGAGATCACCCATCTTACTGAAAAAAAATTCAAAATAAAAGTCATAAGCATGCTAATGGAGCTACAGAAAAATATTCAAGAGCTAAGGGACAAATTCAGGAGGGATAGACACCTTAAAAAGTACAGTTACTGAAATGCAACAAACAATGGAGAGATTTAAAAGCAGATTAGATGAGGTAGAGGAGATGGTAAATGTAACAAATAAAAAGCTGAGGCAGAGAGAGAAAAAAGATCTCTAAGAATGAAAGAATATTGAAAGAACTGTGTGACCAATCCAAACAGAGCAATATTCACATTATAGGGATACCAGAAGAAGAAGAGAGAAAAAAACAGACACAAAGTGTCTGAAAAAATAATTGCTGAAAACTTTCCCAATCTGGGGAAGGAGATAGTCCTCAGGCCATAGAAGTGCACAAATTTCCCAACACAAGGGACCCAAGGAAGACAACACCAAGACATATAATAATTAAAATGGCAAAAATCAAGGACAAGGACAGAGAATTAAAAGCATCTAGAGAGAGAAAAAAGATCACATACGAACGAAAACCCATTGGGCTATCATCAGACTTCTCAGCAGAAAACATACAGACCAGAAGGGAGTGGCATGACATTCAATGCAAAGAAACAGAAGAGCCTTGAACCAAGAATACCCTACCCAGCAAGATTATCATTTAACTCTGAAGAAGGGATTAAACAATTCCCAGATAAGCAAAACTTGAGGGAATTTACCTCCCACAAATGATCTCTACAGTGTATTTTAAAGGGACTGCTCTAGACGGAGGTGTTCCTAAGGCTAAATAGCTGTGACCAGAGAAAATAAAGCCACAGTAAAGGAAATAGACCAATTAAATACTAACCAAATGCAAAACTAAATCAGCTACCCACAAAGTCAGTCAAGTGATACACAAAGAGTACAGAATATGATACCTAACATATGAAGAGTGGAGGAGGAAGAAAAAGGGGGAAAAAAAAGAATCTTCAGATTGTGTTTATAATAGCATAATAAGTGAGTTAGGATAGACTGCTAGATAGTAAAGAAGTTGCCCTTGAACCTTTGGTAAGCATGAATCCAAAGCCTGCAATAGCAATAAGTAGATATCTATTGATAAATCACCCTAAATGTAAATGGACTGAATGCACCAATCAAAAGACAGAGTTACAGAATGGATACAAAAGCAAGACCCATCTATGTGCTGCCAAGAAGAGACTCACTTCAAACCCAAGGACATACACAGACTAAAAGGGAAGGGATGGAAAAAGATATTTCGTGCAAACAATAGGGAGAAAAAAGCAGGAATTGCAATACTTGAATCAAATAAAATAGACTTCAGAACAAAGAAACTAACAAGAGACAAAGAAGGACATTACGTGATAAAGGGGTCAATCCAACAAGAGGACATAATCATTATACATATCTATGCACCCAACATAGGAGCACCTGAATATGTACAACTAACACTAGCAGAATTAAAGGGGGAAATAGAATGCAGTGCTTACATTTTAGGAGACTTCAACACACCACTCACTCCAAGACAGACCAACTAGACAGAAAATAAGTAAGGAGACAGAAGCAATGAACAACACATTAGAACAGATGGACCTAAGAGACATCTATAGAACACTCCACCCAAAAGCAATACAATATACATTCTTCTGAAGTGCACATGTAACATTTTCCAGAGTAGATCACATACTAGGCCACAAAAAGAGCCTCAGCAAATTCAAAAGATTGAAATTGTACCAACCAACTTCTCAGATCACAAAGGTATGAAACTAGAAATAAACTGTACAAAGAGGAAAAAAGGCTCACAAACACATGGAGGCTTAACAACATGCTCCTAAATAATAAATGGATCAATAACCAAATTAAAACAAAGATCAAGCAATATATGGAGACAAATGAAAGCAACAGCTCAACACCCCAACTTCTGTGGACACAGCGAAGGCAGTTCTAAGAAGAAAGTATATAGCAATTCTATCTAAAGAAGGAAGAACAATCCCAGATGAACAGCCTAATTCACAATTATTGAAACTGGAAAAAGAAGAGCAAATGAGGCCCAAAATTAGTAGGAGGGACATAATAAAGATCAGAGAAGAAATAAATAAAATTGAGAATAAAACAAAAGAATTAATGAAACCAAGAGCTGGGTCTTTGAGAAAATAAACAAAATAGATAAACCCATAGCCAGACTTAATCAAGAAAAAAGAGAATCTACACACCTAAAAATAATCAGAAATGAGAAAGGAAAAATCACTACAGATACCACAGAAATACAAAAAATTATTAGAGAATACTATGAATAATTATATGCTAACAAACTGGATAACCTAAAAGAAATGGACAACATTCTAGAAAAATACAACCTTCCAAGGCTGACCAAGGAAGAAACAGAAAATCTGAACAGACCAATTACCAGCAATGTAATTGAATCGGTAATAAAAAAACTACCTGAGAGCAAGACCTCTGGATCAGATGGCTTCACTACCAAATTTTGTCATACATTTAGAGAAGACATAATACTCATTCTCCTCAGTTTTCCAAAAAGTAGAAGAGGAGGGAATACTTCCAAACTCATTCTATGAAGCCAGCATCACTCTAATTCCAAAACCAGGCAAAGACCCCACAAAAAAAGAAAACTACAGACTAATATCCTTGATGAACATTGATGCAAAAATACTCAACAAAATAGTAGCAAACAGAATTCAAAAATACATCAAGAGGATCATACACCATGATCAAGTGGGATTCATCCCAGGGATGCAAGGATGGAACAACATTCAAAAATCCATCAATATCATCCACTACATCAATAAAAAGAAGGACAAAAATCACATGACTATCTCCATAGATGCCAAAAAATCATTTGACAAAATTCAACACCCATTCATGATAAAAACTCTCAACAAAATGGGTATAGAGAGCAACTACCTCAACTTTAAAGGCTATATATGACAAACACACAACCAACATCATACTTAACAGTGACAAGCTGATCCTCTAAGATTGGGAAAAAGACAAGGATGCCCACTGTCCCCACTGTTATTCAACATAATACTGGAGGTCCTACCCATGGCAATCAGACAACACAAAGAAATAAAAGGCATCCAGATTGGTAAGGAAGTTAAACTGTCACTGTTTTCAGATGACATGATATTGTACAAAAAAACTGTAAAGAATCTACTCCAAAACTGCTAGGTCTAATATTGGAATTCAGCAAAGCTGCACGATACAAAATTAATACACAGAAATCTGTTGCATTTCTACACACTAATGATGAACTAGCAGAAAGAGAAATCAGGAAAACAATTCCATTCACAGTTGCATCAAAAAGAATAAAATAACTAGGAATAAACCTAATCAAG